TGTTGGACAAACCACCATCCAGCTTACATTTTAATTAAAGGTAAAAAGTCAAGAAAATTATTCTTTGTAAACTTTCAGCTATCCTTTTCGATAACAATTAAAAAATTGTTTGCGTAATCATTGCGTTAGTTATTTGTAGGCCTACATTTATATTCTTTTCTATTTCTTTGTTTAATTTTTGTCATTTGTCCAAAGAACTTTGTTCATTATATTTAATGTAAAAAACTGTTACATTTCATTTATACTTCTGACTCGGTCATGCTGACCTTTAATAATGATAATTATTAAATAATAATGATATTATTAAAAATAATAATAGTAATTATTTTTCTTATTAATATTACTATTATATATTTTCTTTTATCTCAAAATTCCCTCCCAGCTTTGTTTTTCCTTTTCAAGTAGAATTATTATTACACTACTCTCCACATGCATTGACACAAAGGTTGTTTGATGTCCTAAGGTGTGTTTGCAGGACAGTATTTTACCTGCTGCAGGTAGAGACTCTGCCTCGTCCCACTTCCTCACACTTTACAGAAACTCATATTTTACCTGCTGCAGGTAGAGACTCTACCTCTGCCTCGGCCCACTTCCTCACACTTTATTCCCATTTAGTTCATGTAATAAAGTCAGCCTTTTTTTTCAATCCACAATTACAATCCCTCACCGTCTCCTCGTCTCAGAAGCCGTTAGCACAATGTTCTACTCTTGGCCACAGGCGTCACAGCTCCTAACCAGTTCTTCGTAAAGCCTTTACGAACAGCAGCGGAGAGGAAATGACATGTGCCGAACTCTCCGGTTCACTCATTAGATACACCTGGCTCAAACAAACAAGAACAAATTGCTGTTAGAGGAGATGCAGGGTCAGGAAGTTGAAAGAACGAAGGATGATGGAGATGATGCAACCAGCTCTCGGTGTGTGTGTGCGCGTGGACTCGTGTTTACCGCTCGTGTATAAGATGAAATTTCATTTGCCATTAATGAAATTGTTTGTATTCATGAGCGGTCGGCAGCCAGAGGAGAGAAAAAAGAAACGTTCACCATTTGCGTCCATTGTTGGCAGCATGAACCACCATGTGGCGCCGTGACGTTGGGTTTGAGATGACGATGATAACGCCTTTGGTGATAGTGCTGAAGGCTTTCAGGAACCTGGCAGTGTGTGAATATGAATCATCCCCTTCTATCCAAAACAACACATGGGACACACACACACACTCAAACGTGCGTCACCACGCTGCTCATTTTGACGTGGGGACTTCGCGTCTGCAGAGAGAGAGAGTGCAAATACAGCAGAATTACAAAAATACTTTGTGTTCTGCACTGTGTTATTTGTGTCTTTTGTATTCCATATAAAGGAGGAGTGACCAAACTTTACTTTTTTAACACAGAGCCCAGGTTCTCCTCCAGTGGCGCTGATGACTATAATTACTATTAGACTAATGCTATTGCTAATGCTAATGCTCTGCACCTAACAGATGAGGACAGTTAAGTTCTTAAACCAACCAGATCTTGACAGTTGTCAACCAAGTGTCCAGTTGATCATGCATTTTAAAAAGCAAAAACTGACAAAAAGCTACTACAGAAAGCTAAAGGTTGATTTCCTGTCACTAGGTTCTATGAGATAACGAGTAGAAATGAAACTGACAGCTGTTGGGCCAGAAGAAAAGGTTGAACGTTAGCAAAGGATTGTTAACTTGCAGCAGGTATCTAGCCAATATGAGTCAAGTTGCTTTTAGTTAGCAAAACAAGCTAGGCCAACAGTTAGCTTAACATGCTACAAAGTTATCAAAACATAACTAAATGTAAGTGCACGGTTCAACCAAATAGCCAGGATTTAGGTAAAGGTCACAAAAACCAAATACAGCTGAAGGTGAGGCTAAATGACTGAACTCTACAGGAAGATTGACAAAGATAACAACAGACATTGTAGAGTTGCTTCATGGAAATGACTTAAAATTTCATTTCGGCTAAAGCCAAAGCATTATCCAAAAATAGAAGGAATACAAGAAAAGTGAAGTTGGCTCCAAATGGCCAACCGAAGGATATAGTAGTTGCCACTTTTAAAATACTGTCCACATTAATGACCTGTGTCATGTACTGTATATTTAAATGCACGGCTGCCAAGCTCTCCTCTAATGGGAAGTTTCCACATACACAGGTAGTTATTTACTGTGATTGACAACACAACTTCATTCAGAACATATAACATGTTGAAAACCTTGACAGTGATTGTGCTCCTGTTCACCTCCAGAGGTGCTGTGGTCACTCCGGTCGCTGTCTGTCTCTCCAGTAATCAATCAAACACTATTTATTTATACGGAGCCCTAAATGCGTGCTGTGTGGTTTGTCATGTGGTCCAGACCTTTCCATTTGCCGTCTTGTCACAACCTCGTTATTATTACATGTCACAGTCGATCTCCCGGAGCAGGGGCCTAGCCGTAGAAAATGTGTTTTTTTCCAAACACCTTCGAATGGCAGCGGAGGTTCAACGAGGTCTTCTGTGAACGAGTGAAAAGCAAACATCTCACTGAATGTGCTGAGGGCTGTGCACACAGGAGGCGATAGAGAAGGAGAGAGGAGCCCCCCAAAACAGAAGGAGATTCTTTTACCCCAAAGGCGTTGCTTGGAGGAGCCTCCTATTAGTTGAGAAATAAATATTTACAGTGCGTTTTGGTCAAGTCTGGTCAGTTGTCAAAGGTCAGAACACACACACTGCACTGGGGCTGTAGAACAACACCGGTGGAGTTGTTCAGATACTCAGTTGCGAGTGTATGGTTATTGTTAGGAATTTCTTGATTTTATTTGGATTCTTTTGGTCACAATTTGATACCGATTTGAATGAAAATAACGCATCAGCTCAATAATACCAGTGCTGTATTTGGTGTACAAAAGTAAAACAAAAAAAATTGACAGCGCCTCGCACTGGCCAGGGGGGGGCCTAAATTGTTGTTTGCTCTTGTGATGTATCTTCTTAAGCAGTGTGCTGAAGTTGTGTTCCTTGAAATCAGGCACAGAGGCAGGAAAAAGGCTAATAAAAACAATACAGCAGATGGTGAGCAGAAGCAGTCGTTAAGTCAAGTACAGCAGATGGTGAGCAGAAGCAGTCGGACCATTTTCATCGCTTGCTGTGGTCAGGCTGCACTTGAGAACCTATGTTGGATCAACGTAACAGCTTTTTCCCTCATAATTTCCCAAAGTATATTCACATTTCTTGTCCACGGCAACAACGTCACTACATTCACCAGGAAGACCGACTACAAACAATACACAGCATCACTAATAATCCAAGAGCCGATGGTTCTTCTATAACAAAGTAATAGCTGTCAGTACCAGCCAGCAGGTGTATGTATTAACCTGCAGTAGCTGATGCACGTACTGTTACCCAAGGCCTGCACCACACTTTGCTAAATGCTCAGTGAAGAGTTGCTGACAGAGAGGGAGGACTAAATAATAAATGCCCCTCATGTCAATGTCTTTGCCCTCAACTTGGCCCTGCTTTGAATTTTCTGGCCCTCTGTGTGGCAGAGTTCAGCGTCTTTGCTCTAAAGATTCTACGGCAGTGACGAAGCAAAACAACTGCCTGTGTGAGGAGCTGATCTGTCATGGAGCCCAGTGAGGCAACACAGGACACACATGTGCAAAGAGCAGCTTCAACCTTTCTGAGAGATGGTGCAACAGGCGCTCTAGATTTCATTTCAGTTGCTGGCCCACTGGCACCCTGGGAAAAGCCTTACCAAGAAGTTACTACCACACCTGCTCGTGCTATTTCTCCATGTTTCAGTCAGCGTCAGACACCGCCCCCAAGTGTGTTCTGAGGACAGCCGTCCTCATTTTAGCAGGAAATGGTAGAATAGGCGGAGCTCCACGACGCTGAGAAATCAGTTAACAGAGGCTGCCTTGGCTGAAAAAATGAAGTTCTGTGAAAGACGGTGTGATGAAGTGTATAAGATGACACTCCCACCCTCATTCCCCTTCACCCCCAAACCCTGAGTCCCTGCTGGCATTAGTTTTGTGTGTCCCGTCCAAGAACACAACGTCCCATGTCAGATTTCAGCACAGAAGCCAGTGTCTGTTACACCAGCACATCCACAGTCTTCAAATGCTATTTATTGACTATGTTTAAGCACCAAAGGGAACCGAATGAGCTCTACCTCCATGGAAATGACTTTCTTTAGTATGTGATCCCATAATAGAAAACACAGGGCTTCAGTTCAATCATTTACCTACAAACACATCTGTTTTCCATGACATTTTATTGGCACTTTAAAACTGACTTGACCTCATGCATCAGATAAAGTGAGTTAAACTTCAACTCCAGGCTCTGACTCAGTGGACGTGTTGTTCCAATAAACCTGATTAGATTTTTATTTTACATGACACACTTTCTATTTTGGACTTCAACTTGTCACTGACCGGACACACCAGGATGTTCGAAGTAGGACAACGGCTAACTGGATGCTTTTACCGAACCATTGACTATAAAATGGTAGACAAACACACAAATAGGTCAACAGATGTCTAGTTGTATAAAATACAGCAATTATTTCACAACTGGACACATTGAAATCATTGAGTGAACATTTAAAAACTGGACAGTCATGTTTCCAGAATGTCAAGTCAAGTATTTGTCATGTGTATTTTGTGGAATGGCCACCAGGGGGTCTGGAGCCAATCCCAGCAGTCAAACCCCACACACTAGAACAGGGTCGGTGTCAAACTCAATTTAACTGGACATTAAAAGGCTATTGAATGCTTCTTTAAGATTCCGTGGGCCACACAAAATGACCTGGTGGACTGCACGTGGCCCGCAGGCCTTGTGTTTGACACGTGCACTAGAAGGACTATA